TGTTTCTCTGACTGACTTATTTAACTTAGCATAATACTTAAATGTAAATGGATTGAACACTCCAATCAAAAGACATAGGGTAGCTGAATGGATAAAAAAACATGACCTAAATATGTGCTGTCTACAAGAGACCCACCTCAGAACAAAAGACACACAGGATGAGAGTGAAGGGATGGAAAAGATTTTTCCATGCAAATGGAAACGAAGAAGAAGCTGATGTAGCAATACTCATATTGGACAAAACAGGCTGAAAAATGAAGGACATAACAAGGGACAAGAAAGGTTGTTACATAAATCTAATGGGATAGATCCAACAAGAGGATATAACCCTGATAAACATATATGCACCCAATATAGGAGCATCTAAATTTATAAAAAATCTTCTAGAGATCGACAGCAAGACAGTCACACTCGGGGAGTTTAACACCCCACTGACTTCACTGAATAGGTCTTCCAGACAAAAAATCAACAAGGAAACAGTGACCCTAAATGACACACTACATCAGATGGATGTAATTGACATTTACAGAACATTCCACCTCAACACTGCAGAACACACATTCTTCTCAAGGGCACACAGGACGTTCTAAATGATTTGATCAACTTTTGACTGGTTGAGCCTGTGGGTTACTTCATCTAGCTCTCATATTGAAGGCAGTCTGCTGACAGTGCCTTTCCAGAAGTTGAAAGCCTCCTCCCAGTCAATCAGTAGCAGTTTATACCTGGTTTTCCCAAATAGGACCCAAGAGAGGTCACTTTGGAGCACTGAAATTAGTGGTATTTTATACCAATCTTAGTAAATTTTGTTTCAAAGTATCCCAGGGGAGTTTTATTCTCCTTTCCCATAATTCATTGTGTAAACTTATATAAATCTTACTTTATAAAGAGAAGTAAAAGAAGTTCAATAATATATTTTATAGTCCAAGTACTCCAGTGATTCTGTATTTGGCTTTATAAAAATAAAAGTTCCATATTCAAAATAATTTGAAAAATCCCAATGATCTGAAATCTATAATCAGATTGCTATGATATATTTTAGGAAGAGATTGGTGGAATAAGTCTATAATGCTAATTTGGATTGGGGCAATCTCTTTAGGAGTTAAGGGAAGTATTGAGTAGTATTCTCTAGGAGAAAAGGCATTTTGAAGGAATTAGATTGTTTTAAAGACGTATTTGAAGGAACTTTTACTTATGATGAAGAGTCTTCAATTAATGTCATTAACAAGCTTAAACAAGAGGCTACAAGCCCAAGTAAATATAAACTTGCATCAAGTTATCATTGTTCAATACAGTTTGTTGGATTTCACTGCATTTAACCTTTACACTACCGCAGGAGGGAAAAAAAAAAGCATATTGGGCTAATTTCTATAAGAAAAAAAGCAGCATCAGTAAAGCAGTCAAATATCAAAGATACATTTTAAAAGGACTTAAAAAAACACCTGAATGTGGGCTATAAAGCTGAAACTCACAGAAGCAAACAGTATGGTGGTTAGCAGAGGGAAAGGGGTGGGGGACAGTAGAGGGTCAAGGGGGCCAAATATATGGTGATGGGAGAAGGTCTGACTTTGGGCGGTGACCACAATGCAATATACAGATCATGTATCATAGAAATCTATACTTGAAACCTATGTGATCTTAGTATCCAAGTCACCCCAATAAATTTAATAAAAAAGAATAACATTTATCAAACCATTAAAAAAATCTGAATGATAATTCTGAACCTCCTACCACTTCAGCTTCAGCTACTCCTGTGACAGCCTTAGGTTAATAACCACAAGGGTCATGGCCTTCTAGGTAATGAGACACAATGGACTAATCTGGTATTAGTGCGGCTAGATCAGGTACAGAAACTGACACTAACCTATTTCAGTGAAGAAGAGAACTGTCTTAGCGTCAACTCATGAAACTTCAATAGTTCAGCAACTTAAGTTTTATATATATACACATATATATAAACACACACATATGTAACTAAGACAAGGCAACTGCAGTTAAATTTACAAATACAACGTTTCAAAGTTTCTATAAAAACTGAACTAAGATGCTGAACTGCAACACTAACCACTTAGGAGTAAATTCAATATTTAGAATCATCTATAGTATTAGAGAAGACAATGTGAAAATCAACCATCTTATGACATAAATACTATATGTACAGCATGTATTGAAATATATCTCTTGTATTTTTATTTATAATATCTCATGTGGTACTATGTTCATTTAAATGTTTACTTAATTTATGTCTGCAGTAAAATATGTATTAAAGGAGACTATACTGCACATAAAATAGTGAAATTAAGAAGGCTTGGTGCTCTTCGAATAATGACCAATGCTCTAGACCAGAGGTCCACAAGTTTTTTCTGCAAAGGGCCAGACAGTAAATATTTTAGACTTTGGAGGCCATATGTCTCTGCCACAATTACCTAACACTGCTGTGTAGCACAAAGGCAGACTTAAGACGATACACAAACAAATGAATGTGGTTGGGTTCTAGTAAAACTTAATTTACAAAATCATACAGCAGTTTGTGGCAGCCCCGCTGCAGGGCCACAGTGTGCTGAGCCCTGCACTTCAGACTTGCCCTGTATACTCACCATTCCTATCTGCTACAACCGTATAAAACAGCCACAAAGTTTAATCAAATAGCAAATCAACATACCTTTTCCCCAGGAATTCCAGGAGCACCAAATTCACCTTTAATACCAACTGCACCCTAAAATACAGAAATGCTCGTTAGGAGGTTTATCCTAAAGTGTATTAATCGCTACTGTTGTCAAAGAGAATCTACTATTTCATAGGTGAGTTGCTTTTGCTTGCACCCAAGTCTGCACCCTAAGTTTCTTCCTCATATTATCCACAAGTCAGTAAACTACACAGTTGACAATTAATAATTTAAAAATTAATAATTAATAAACATCAAAGTGCTAATCAAAACTAAATATTCTCCACATAGACATACATAATTCAGTTTTGTGATTTATTTATCAAAGATAAGAAATGATTCTATTGCTGTTCCCACAACTAATACCTGATACTTCCAATTCAAGTAAATCATGCAATTTCAGGCTCTAAGGCACTCATATTTGTTTCATTTAGTGTGCCTGACCTTCCACTACATCCACCAGGAAAAACCCCACAGCTGGGTCAAGCCAATTCTCAGCTTCCCTGCTATTCCACCTAACCTGGAAAAATCTGCTTCAATGAAGCTGGTGAGTTGTCTACATCTGCCTTGATGGCTCTATCACAAATTTGGTCTAATAAATTTATCCTTGAAACAATGGAAAACAATGTAAACTTTTGGAATGAGTTTCTCTACCTACCACTAATGCTTGGTGGAGATTAAAAAGTAAATAAGAATTTTATGAATATAAATGCCATTAGAACAATAATATTATATGTTGATTTCAGATTTAAGGCACACAAGTAACTGTCAACTCCAAGTTCCCATAGATTCAATGAGATTATATCAGATTGGATAAAACTGATACAAAACCAAAAAGAAATATTCTTTATTGGACAAAAATTCAAAATGCATAACATTAAATTCTACTTCTGTAAAGTTATTATTAAGGTAAGATATTCATTCTTTAAAAGAAATTCTGAACATATTTTCATGCACCTATTTTTGTTGGTGTGGTGTGGTGCGGTGTGGCTCAGAATAGGCATGAGTAGTGTCATATTGGAAAGAAAATACAAGGATCACTAGTAACCTCTGGGTTAACACATTAGACTATTCAAAATGGAAACTTCCATGTAGTGAGATTAGAGGGTGGGATAGTAGAAAGTTTTTGACTATCGAGTCGAGTAAATAAACTTAATAAATTTTGAATTATTTTGATTTTCTCTAAAAGTATATTAGCAAAGCAGTCATTTCATAAAGCCTACCCTTTTTGAGTAATTAATTGCATATGTGAAAGATAAGACAAAAATGAACTAGAAAATTATTCCTAAAATAGAGCTCAGATCACACTCCCCCTTAGGTTCAAGAACACAGAAATTGAGCTGCTATTTTATAAAACTCAGAGAATTTCAACTCTGAAGTGGGCGAAAGTATTAACAAGGGTCTTAAAGGACTGAGAAAGCAAAGTGGTTGCTAAGTAATTAGGTTGCCAACTATACTTGCTAAGAAAAAGGAATTAAAAGATTCAGAAAATTACAATAATTGAGTGTGAAAAGTATTAATTATTATTTCAGATAATGTCATCCAGAGTTTAGTCTCGGACAGAGGGCATGGTCAGAATGGTTTGATTAGGAGCCCTAACGTGGAATACTGATCACATCTAGGTGTTCAAACATAAACAGTGTTTGAATCTCAAACCATCTTATGCCATCAAAGAGGCTCATCATCTTTATCAAAAATTTAAAAAGCATTAAATCAGATTAATGAAGCATCACAGTGGGAATGAGAATATAGGCAAATAAAGACAGGCATTAAATCATGCCAAAACATGTGGCTTTTCCCCGTATATTTCTGATTCTATGTTAACTAATTGGCCATATCAAGCTAAAACTAGTCAGGTCACTATGTGAAAAGAACTTTTGTTTTTTAAAGGGAACAGTGACTAATGTAACAGTCCTCTATGATTTATCTAGCTCTTTCTTTGCAAATTGATTCTTTGTGCTCCCTGGCAGGATCCCCTGGGCAATTAGGGCATTGAATTTACAGGTTCCAGAAACAGATGAGTTGATGATTTGGACTTCCTTGAGGAACAGTGTTCATTCACTCACTCAACATACTTTTAGCTCCCATTATGCGCTACTCGGTGTGTGGTGCTCACAGAACTCATATGCTAGTGGGGGAAATAAACAGATGCATACTCATAACACATCAGGTGGCAATAAAAGTGCTAAGGAAAGAAAGAAGACAGAGGTGGAAAGAAGGGATGCTTTTCATATAGAGACGTCAGAGTAGGGTTTTAAACTCATTCCTGAGCAAGAGCCTGCGTGATGTGAAGAGCGCCAAGTGGAAATCTGGCAGAACATTCCAGGTACAGTGGTCCCTGGGTTTTCGAATGTGATCCGCTCTGGAAGCCCGTCCGAGCTCTGAAACGTTGGCAAACCGAGGGACCCACAACGACAGCTGGGCCTCGGGATCCTGCCCTCAGCGGGGGCCGCGGGGCATGTTCAACTCCCGAGGGGGCTTTGAAAACCAAAGCATTTAATTCCAGGTTTAGGGCATTCAGAAACAGAAATGTTCATCCATGGAGACGTTGGAAAACCGAGGTGCCACTGTATATGGAAACTGGTGCAAAGACCTTGGAGCAGGAATGAACAGAGGAGGGCGTAGGAGAGGATATGGAGTGTGGGGGGTGAGGTGGGGAGAGCTCTACACATGATGTGAAGCTTGTGGCCCATGGTTAGAGCTTCAGTGTTTATCCTGAGGGAGGCAGAAAGCCACTGGTGGACTCTGACTCAAGCAAGGGGGACCTACATGATTATGCAGAATAACTGTCTAACTCAGAGCCTATGGGCATAAATAAAAGTAAAATTTGCTCTTATAAAGCTGCCACAGATCACAGTAAGGATTCTCATAATTTAAAACCTTTATAGTGAGAAATACATAATTTGGAAAGAGATTTGGAAATTGTATTCTCAAAACTTTTCTCAGTTTAGCTCATTGCACCAAAAATAAGATGCACAAGATTAGAAATATATATCTTACAGTTAATAAGAAAAGGTAAATTATAATTGCCTCTGAGTGGCTCCCAGTCAACATTATCTAAGCATAACAATGCAAGGAATCTCTTCAAAACCTAGTATGCTGCATCTAAGAAGTCTTGTGAAATAATTTTGAGAATAAAAGACACAGATGTGAATGAAATATTGAAATCATTGAGTGACATTTTGAAAAAGTTAACTATCAATAAATTATTAATATTTACTACAAGTAGCACATACAACAAGATTTTTATATACTAAAACATTTAATTAACTCAAAATTCTAAAGATATCTTTGTTTTCGGTCAAGTCACATAACAAACTACATGCAACCTGAAGGGATTATCTCCACCTGTCCTGCAACATGTGCAGTTACACTGTGGATGGAAACAGAGGAAACATTTGCTGAATATCTACTATGTTGCAGTTTCTGATATAAATGTTCTTTATACATTTTACTGTATTCCTTCGCAATAAGCCATTGACAAGGTGTTATTAAAGATCATTTTCAAAGCGAGTAAGAGGTGAACAGGATTCAGTCCCAAATGGTTCAGGCTCCACAATGGTACTCCTTCTGCTACACTGTCCTGTCTCCCCTAAATATCCTTTCTTGGTCTTATAGACAAGGAAAACCTTGAGAACAGCATTTGGTTCCCTTAGTAACACTGCACTTCTGGTCATTTCACAAATTTAACTATTCAATATGCCTTAGAGAAAAATGAGTTTTGATTTCAAGCTATTTGGGCATTGTGTGGTGCACCTACTCCAATAACGAGAATTATATACCAGACTTAAACACAGAACAATGCATCTTTATTTATTGCACATTAAAGTTGTAGGATCACATAGTACAACAGAAACAGGAACAGACTCATCATCAATACCTTAAAATGAAACAATATATTCGAGTTTATTACAAGTGCCAGGAAAGCTGAACACATTCATGGCCATGGTCATCTGAAGTCGTATTTACACAGCAAGGGTTATGCTGGTTTAATAAAATGCTGGTGTTTGTATTAAAAAATAAAGGAAGTATATGGATGAACTATTTGTTTTGTTTTATAGACTATCAATTTATTTTATCCCAGCTATTTTTGCTTTGCCACTAAAATTTCTTGACATTATAAGTTTTGTGTAGCCTGGAAGTTAAAACAAATGTTAATATTTTAAAGATATATTACAAATAGGCAGCCATGTAATGCACTGTAACTCTGAGATACATTTTTGTATATTTTATAGATTTGGTATATAATAAATTTGCTAATAATTATAATTTTTAATGGTTCCTTTCTTCCTAGTTTTTTTTCCTACTGGTTTTCATTACTATAGAGGGAGGGAAGGCTCCTTGAACAAATCATTATTAGATTATAAAAGCAGTGAGAATAAGTTCTGTGCTTTCTCATTGCTGATATAGCTTCAAAATTTAGCACACTTTTGATTATAATAATAAGAGTTCAATAAATAGTTGTTAGTGAATGAATGTGATAAAGTAGGCAGTTAGATAGGCATGAGTAGAGCAGGAACAATAGGCCAGGCACAGAAGGTCACCAGGGTGGAAAGTCCCTGGTACCTAGCAATGGGCAAAACTTGGCTAAGACCTCACCCCCAAGATGACCTTTCTTCCCCTAGCATATCGCTGGTCATGCTGGTCACGCAGTATAGACCCCCTGACCTTACATATCACTGGTTATGCAGTTTGGACCTCCCCTGACCTTTCTTCACCTGGCATATCACTAGTCATTTGGTAGACCTCCTTTAAGAGGAACAAGGAGGGTGGAGAATAGCCTCATAGACTCCTATGCAAACCCTTACATGACCAATCCCTTAAGCATTAAGCCCTAGAGATAACATCTAGGCCTTAGTTGTATTTCAGCTACAGGCCTAGAAATATACAACCTACCAAGACTGAATCATGATAAAATAGAAAACCTGAACAGATTATTAGCAAGGTAATTAAATCAGTAGTTGAAAATCTCCCAACAAACAAAGGCATAGGACCAGATAGCTTCACTGGTGAATTCTACCAGACATTCAAAGAAGGATTAATACCAATCCTTCTCAAACTCTGCCAAAAAAAAAACAGAAAAGGAGGAAAGTCTTCCAAATTTATAAGGCCAACACTACTCTGATACCAAAACAAACAAGGATGCCACAAGAAAAGAAACTTACAGGTCAATATTCCTGATGAACATAGATGAAAAATCCTCAACAAAATAGTAGCAAACCAAATTTAACAATACATTTAAAGGATCATAGACCATGATCAAGTGGGATTTATGTCACAGATGCAGGGTGGATTAACATCCACAAATCAGTCAATGTGATATTCCACATTAACAAAATGAAGCATAAAAACCACATGATCATCACAATAGATTCTGAAAAAGCATTTGACAAAATTCAATATCCATTTATGATAAAAAAAAAATCTCAGCAAAGTGGGTATAGATGGAAAATACCTCAACATAATAAAGGCCTCATATGACAAGCCCACAGCTAATACCAAACTCAATAGTAAAAAGCTGAAAGTCTTTCCTCTAAGCTCAGGAATCAGACAAGAATACTCACTCTCACCACTTTCATCACAGTATTAAAAGTCCTAGCAAGAGCAATTAGGCAAGAAAAAAAATAAAAGGTATCCAAATTGGAAAGGCATAAGTAAAATTGTCACTATTTGCAGATAATAGAACACTATATATAGAAAGATACTATATATAGAAAGCCCTAAAGGCTCCGTCAAAAAACTGTTAAAACTAATAAACCAATTCAGCAAAGTTGCAGGATACAAAATCAATACACAAAAATCTGTTGTTTTTCTACACACTAATAATAAACTACCAGAAAGAGAAATAAAGAAAACAATCCCATTTACAACTGCACAAAAGGAATAAAATACCTAGGAATAAGTTTAACCAAGGAAATGAAAGACCTATATATTGAAAACTGCAAGATATTAGTGAAAGAAATTGAAGAATATACAAGTAAATGGAAAGACATTCCATACTCATGGATTAGAAGAATCAATATTGTTAAAATGTCCATACCAACCAAAGTAATCTACAGGTTCAATGCAACCCCTATCAAAATCCCAATGCATTTTTTTAATGAAAAAATACATAAAACAAACAATTCTAAAACTTGCATGGACCACAGGAAATGCCAAATAGCCAGAGCAATCTTCAAAAGAGAGCAAAGCTGGAGGTATTACACTCCCCGATTTCAAACTATACCATAAAGCTATAGTAATTAAAACAGTATGATACTGACATAAAAACACATTGATCAATGGAACTGAACAGAGAGCCCAGATAGAAACCCACACATATATGGTCAATTAATTTACAACAAAGGAGTCAAGAATATACAAAGTGGAAAATACAGTTTTTCCAATAAATAGTGTTAGGAAAACTGGACAGCCACCTACCAAAGAATAAAACTTGACCACTATCTTACACCATACACAAAAAATAACTCAAAATAGATTAAAGATTTGAACCTAAGACCTGAAACCATGAAGCTCATAGAAGATAACATAGCCATTAAGCTGCTTGACACAGGTCTTAAAGATGGTTTTTTGAAAGTGATACCAAAGCAAAAGCAACAAAAGCAAAAATATACCAGTGGGACTTCATCAAACTAAAAAGCTTCTGCATAGCAATGGAAGCCTCAACAAAATGAAATGGCAACCTACTGATTGAATGGAAGAAAATATTTCTAAATCATATATCTGATAAGGGGCTAATATCCAAAACCTGTAAAGAACACATGCAATTCAATAGCAAAAAAAACCAAACAAACAATTAAATGTGGTTAAAAAATGGACAGAAGATCTGAATGGACAAAGAAGACCTACAGATGGCCAACAGGTACATAAGAAGATTCTCAATATCATTAATAATCAGAGAAAACCAAATTACATCCATAATGATATATCGCCTCACATCTGTTAGAATGACTATTATAAAAAAGACAATAACAAGTGTTGGCAAGGATATAGAGAAAAGGGAACCCTTGTACACTGTTGGTAGAAACATACATAACATAAATTATTGGAGCAGTTATGGAAAACAGTATGGAAGTTCCTCATAGAATTAAAAATAGAACTACTTTGATCCAGCAATTCCACTTCAGGGTATTTATCCAAAGAAAATGAAAGCACCACCTCAATAAGTTATGTGCACTCCCATGTTCACTGCAGCATTATTTAAAATAGCCAAGACGGCCCAGCCGGATGTGGTTCAGAGGCTGAGCATCGACCTAGGATCCAGGAGATCGGGGTTCGATTCCCGGTCAGGGCACATGCCCGGGTTGCGGGCTGCAGCCGATCAATGACTCTCTCATCATTGATGTTTCTATCTCTCTCTCTCCCTCTCCCTTCCTCTCTCTGAAATCAATAAAGATAAAAAATTAAAAAATAAAAATAATAAAATAATAAAATAAAATAGCCAAGACAAGAAAACAATCTAAGTGTCCATTGATGGATGAATGGATAAAGAAACTGTGGTGACATATATAATGAGTCATACAAAAAAAGATAAATATTGTATGAGCTCTCTTACATGTGGAATCTTAAAAAAAAAAAAAAGACCATAGATAAAGAGAACAGATTGGCAGTTGCCAGAGGTGGGGGGAGAAAATGGGAGAGGTAAGAGAATGGGTGAAGGATATAAATTTTTTTTAAAATATATCTTTATTTTAGAGAGAGGACAGGAGAGGGATAGAGAGAGAAACAGAGACATCGATGTTGAGAGAGTCATTGATCGGCTGCCTCCTGCACACCTCTCTGACTGGGGATCGAGCCCACAACTGCAATCCGGGCATGTGCCCTGACAGGGAATCGAACTGGAATCTCCTGGATCATAGGTTGATGCTCAACCCCTGAGCCACACCATCCGGGCAAGGATATAAACTTATTAAGTTAAGAAAGAATCTTCAGTGGGGACCCATCAGCAGACAAGAGAAAATTCAAGTATCTGAAAAATAGAATGTTCAAGAAGGCTAGGGCACAACTAAAAACTAAACTTTCTTGTCCACAATTTTGCTTACTGGTTACAGGTACAAAGATTTGGGTTTCCAAAGCTTTTCAAATTTCAGTCCTGCCTTCTAATAGTAACTCAAAAGTAGACTTGAATGCTGATGTTAGTCTTCCTGAATTCAGTGATCAGCAACTAAATATAGCCCTTGATAATCATTTAACAAAAATGTGCGCTTGTATGAGACATAGAAAAATGAGACAGACACATTTTATAAGTCATTTTGAACAAATCCACTTTCATCTCAACAGTGTTGGGTGGTGTCTTACCGGTTCTCCTTTATCTCCTTTCTGACCAAGTGGGCCTGGAGCTCCTGGTAATCCTGCTTCTCCCTGAGCAAAAAGGGAATTTCTGTGTTATCAGACATTCTGCCACACTGATCTAAAGACAAGTAGTTTATAAATATTATGCTGATAATAGTAAGTTACAGTTTTGCTTCCCTCTGAGCTGATGCTGGGCCCTCCGCTGGAGCGTCCTTCCCTTGCTCATAGGCTCACTGCTCTCCCTCATCCTGTCCCCATGAGACCTTCCACGGACTGGGACAGGTGCTGCACCTTGTACTTGCTTTTCAGTGGAGCTTTCTACACGGCGTGAGTCGCTAGAGGAAATCTAAGATTCCTCCAAACTTTCACCTAACCCCTATCCCCGCTCCTCCAGCCAAGGGTGAAGTAGTAGCAAGATGTGCTAAGGGCATGCATTAGGTCGCAGTGCTAGGGGACATCCTGCTCTAGGTGCTGGGGCAAGTTCTCCTTTCCTCTTTCCCTTTCTCAGGAATGAACACAGAGGAATGCCACACTCAGCCTACTTTTTAGCACAGGCCTCATGACTTCTATTAACATCCACGAAAGAAGTTAATGTAGGTCCATGAGCCCAGCTTTCCCAACCAGGGGGCCATACTTGGCACACTACAAATTAGATATGCATGGAAAAATACTGTCAGGATACAAAACTAAAAGATTGTCAATGGTTCTTTTTTAAAAAAAATTATCTTTATTGTTGAAAGTATTACAGATGTCCCCTTTTCCTCCCATTGATCCCCTCCACCTCGCATTCATCCCACTCCCAGGCCTTCCCCATACCAGTGTCTGTGTCAGTGGGTTATGCTTAAAATGCACACTGGGGTCCAAGGGAAACAAATTCTTTGAGTATTTCCCATACAAATAATGACAGAGGGAGATAGCCGTAAGTTGGGGATACTGGATAAATACAGTCTCCACACAACAAAGGTATACTATGTAGTGTCTTTGTGTATGTATTAAAGAGAAGACCATGTTTCCTTCAACTGCGAATTCCCAGAATTGAAGCCTATCCTTGGCACATGTTAAGTACTCAGTACCTGTCTGTTGTACAGGGTGTTCCTGCCTTCACCTTCGTATACATTCTAACTCAGTCCCTGAAAAGCAGGTCTGATGGGCTCAGAACTACCCAGATAAAAAAACTCAGGAAATCCTAACCCCAAGCCCTTCTCTTAACCCACCCCCATGACCGAGTGGCTTAGGCATTTGATTCAACTAGCACTAAAGGACAGGCACACTGTGCACCAGGGCCACATCCGAGGGGCTGGCTCACTGTGTGCAGTGGCTTCTCAGCGGGCATAGACTAATACGAGCATACCTTGTTTGGAATGCACTGGCACCGGTCTTCAGGTTCCTGCTTTGCTGGCAGATACGCAGGCACTTTGCTGGCATGAGAGGGTAGTGACAATGATGCAGTACTTCCAGTGCCATCCTGCTCTGGGCACTGAAATCCAAAAAGAGGCTTTAGGAAATGGGCAAATTCCAAACAGTCTNGGCACTGAAATCCAAAAAGAGGCTTTAGGAAATGGGCAAATTCCAAACAGCCTGACNGGTAGTGACAATGATGCAGTACTTCCAGTGCCATCCTGCTCTGGGCACTGAAATCCAAAAAGAGGCTTTAGGAAATGGGCAAATTCCAAACAGTCTATTGTAAAAAATGACTGCGGTTACCTGTTAGAACTCCCTTCTAATTAACCAAAAGTTGGCACTAGTGTGTGAAAGTTTGTAATGCCTTCGCTCTCTCACTAGCCCCCCTGTATGTTTTATTACGCTGACAGCGCACTAAAAACGCATCAACATGTTGGTTTGGGTGAGACATTCTGAAGCTATTACAGGTGACTTTATGACAAGTATAGTAATAACAAACATTTACAATAATTGCATTGTTAAAATAAAACAATTTATCCAAATAACATCTATATGTGTTTGGGGAGCAAATTTTAAAATAATGTAATTTGAACTTTTAAGGCATAGTTTACTTCAACAAGATGATTGCAAAGGTGTGTGAAAGTAGAAGATAAGTCCTTTTTTACACTGTAAGATGCTATATATTAATTAAGTTATATCTTATTCCAGTCTATTGTCCTTAAAGTTATTAAAAAGTCGCCACTGTAACAGACAAGTGGTGAATTTTATACTTATCCAGTGGGTTCAGTACATGTGGGACAATGTTACAAAGCAGTGAACTTTTTGTCTCTCCAAAAATCAATCCAGATAATGTCTAAAGAGGGTAAACACATCCTTTCCTCTCAATATTTACCAGGCTCCTTCCTCACCAGTTTTTCATAACTCTGAGTTTGCAATTTAGGGGAAGGGGTTCACACGTGACTTTGCATACTACAAATTAGATATGCATGGAAAAATACTGTCAGGATACAGAACTAAAAGATTGTCAATGGTTCTTTTTTTAAAAAATTTATCTTTATTGTTGAAAGTATTACAGATGTCCCCTTTTCCCCCCACTGATCCCCTCCACCCCACATTCATCCCACTCCCAGGCCTTCCCCATACCAGTGTCTGTGTCAATGGGCTATGCTTAAAAACATATAAGTTCTTTGATTAATCGCTCCCCACCCACTCCCCCACCCCCACCTTCCCTCTGAGATTCCTCAGTCTGTTCCATGATTCAGCATCTCTGGATCTATTTTGTTCATCAGTTTTTTATTAAATTCCATGTATGAGTGAGATCATGTGGTACTTGTCTTTCTCTGCCTGGCTTATTTCGCTTAGCATAATACTCTCCAGTTCCCTCCATGCTGTCCCAAAGGGTAAGAGATCCTTCTTTTTTACAGCTGCGTAGTATTCCATGGTGTAAATGTGCCACAGCTTTTTTATCCACTCATCTACTGATGGGCACTTGGGCTGTTTCCAGATCTTAGCTATTGTAAATTGCGCTGCTATGTCAAGGGTTCTTTACTGTGGTCATGGTTGATGTTACTTTCGTCTTTGAATTTGGCTATATTTTCCAAGTTTTTTATAATAAGCATGCATTACTTTTAAAACAAAAACAAATTATTTTGAAAACTGGGTAGAACTCTAATGTTTGTGAGAACAATAAAAAAATGTAAGAAAAATAGCACCCAGGAATACTGTGACTAGTTTCCTGTCTCCCTATTTGTTCTATCAATTGACACTTTCCAAATTTAATGATTAGCTATTTAGTTAGCTTAATAAGTTTCCAAGTCCACAAGTATAAAAATCACATTAGAATGAAACATGATTATCACTACCAAAACAGTCCATTTAGTGCATATGATCTCATATCATTTTCCAGCCAGTTCCTGTCCCATAGGTTCCCAGTCTGGTAANCATATCATTTTCCAGCCAGTTCCTGTCCCATAGGTTCCCAAGACCCAGTTAGAGTTCACAATTTTGCTCTGGATAACTAATTTACTATGTTAAATTTGGGATTTAAATGACTTTAAAAGTATGTCTTGGGCTTCACTATAAAACTGTCCACACTCTCCAAAAAGTGCCTAAAGGAAACATAAAATGTACAAGTAAGAACTCCTCCCCTTGGAAAACTCCCAGTTTCTGATTTGACACATATTTAATTACTTGGCCCTCAAAATTTTAATCACATTTTTCACTTATTTTCAGCAAATGTTCCTGATTTCCTCCTTCTTTTTATATTTTCTCTTCATTTTAAGTCTGCAATTAGGAAACCAGACTGCTTCAGAAACAGAAAATCAAATCAATAGACGCAAAGAAGGATGCTTATAGATTATCTTGAATAAATTTCACCTTGAAATATGCTATAAAATATTAATAATAAAAACATGTCTGATTTGAAATTCCAGGACAAAATTAGATTTTTAAGCAAGTACATTAATATTTTCTAAATTCACCACATTAAAAAACAAACAAACCCAAAACAATAGTTGATGTCAGAGTTATAGCAGGTACACTTAAACGGCTTTTATATAATTATTTATCTTCCAAACTATGCATTCCCATTTGTAAAATGTAGCATGTTCTATTTTCTGTTAATCCATAACAGAATGGTGATGTCCCTTCAAATAATTATCAGCAGAAAAATAAGCAGTCTTATTTTTTTCTATAGTTAGAGATTAATTCCTACCTTATTTACTACTCTTTAAAACTAACTCTTAAATAGCCTTTTAAAAACATGATTAAAATTATTTTTCACAATTTGTGAGGTCACGTCGCTGCTTTGAATAATCAAACTACTCTATCAAACCCATCACCTATACTTCCTTAAAAATTTTCACACAATTTGAGTTCAAAGTGTCCATTATGTGATAACACAGAGTAGTGATTATTGGTCAAGAATGTATTGTTTGGATTTATCAAAACGTCATTATGTTACTTTTCAATCACAGACAATTATTATTTTAAGAGCTCTTACATCACAAAAACATTATTTTTAAAAAAACAAAAAACTTTTGGAGAATTAACATCTTCAAGATTTAAATGTGTGACTCCAGGAAGTCTAGGTATTTCAAGTCTGTAGATTGGCATTCTAGATTATCTTTTTAGATATTTATAGAAAGACATTTGGCTGGCTTTCATTTTACTGGGAATAAGAGCCATAAACTGGGTTGGATATGCTTTATAAACCAAGTTACATAAGCAAAATGTAAAAGCTTGAAAGACTTAGCGATGCTTTGCATTAGCTGGCCGCATTATTACCCTACTACCCACACTGAGTGATGAAAGTTAAAAATATTTTTTGCATTAATAAACTACTGATAAAAATGTTCATATAATTTTGGGAGGTAAGTGTAGAACTTCTGGGAAATCTGAGATACAAAGAAAAACATTTTCACCTTTTACTTTTCATATGTTCTTTCTGTAAGATTTCTTTCAATTCATCCCTTTCAAACACATTTTTGTCCCATCTATCTCCTTCAGTAGTCGGTAAATCAACAAGTCATGAATCAGTGTTCTGGCAACAAAGCACTACTAATTGTTTTAAAAAGAATATAAAAGTCTAATTCCCCTCAATGAGTTTAAAATGTAGTTGAAAAAATTACAACTAGATCTAATAATATAAGATGGCACACACGACCATCACAATGAGAGAGAGAGCAATTATTGAATTCCGAATTTCTTTGGAATGGAAGACTGGTACAAGAAAGTAATAGTTGTAGTTAGGTTGGGAATGTTAAGAACTGGATTTGTATTTTGTTGCCAACAGTGAATGACCAAAGCTTTGAAAATGAATAGAGGGCAGGGAGTGTGCCTTATCCATGTTTGTTAGCCTTGCTCCTTAACACAATGTCTTGGAGATCAATATTTTTGAATAATAAATGTTCGGTGGAAGAAAGGAAATGAATATGTGAAGCAGCGATTCAGAGTCTTACTCTGGTCCTGCTGGAAAGCTGACGGGCTAGAGACAAGGAGGGCCCTTGAGAGAACAATGCAGCAATCTAGGAGTGAGGCAAAGGCGAGCACGGCAGTAACAGGAAAAATGAAGATGCAGGCGAAAGACGTACCACAAAGGTAAACTATCCAGGGTGGGAGGCGGGCTGGAAGAGGGGAATGAATGCAAGTAAGGTATGATCACAAACTTAACACCCCTGTAACTGGAGCATGACGATGCCACTGCTATAGTTTAGGGAGAAAGGCGTAAATTCTCTTTTACTTATGCTGAATCCAAAGTGAGGATATACCATTTCCAAAGTTCAGGACAAAACACTGGGATTAAAATATTTAACAGAAACCATGGGAGAGCTCTAAGACTGGTTTCTTACTTGGAGCGAATTACTCACCTGGCTTCGACAGACGATACTCAGTGCTGCCCTACTTTTGGAATCTACAGACCACACAACTGTCATTCTACATTCTTTACGTGCCAAGAAAATTAACTTACCTTGGTATTTGATATTTCGCAACAAGTTTCTTTAGCTACGAGGTTCGAGTTACAGTAGATTTTAAGTTGGTGAAGTTCAATCTATTAAAAAATTGGTAAAAGAAATATCATTAGTTTTTAAGAAAATCACATTTAGACACTTAAGAGCTATGGTAATTGAACTGGTAAGAAAAAAGAAGCTATTACAAATAAATTACCAGTAGGTATTTTTAATATTTTTATTAATTTAGGATCATGATTTTATGGATCATTTGAGAAATAGATGAGCCTATTTATAATGGAAATCAAGGAATGAAAGCAATTGCAAACCTTGGCTAGTTGTTTCAAACAATAAAAAAGTATTTAATTAAAAAGATGTGTTGTTACTCACTACAATAAAGCGTGTACCCGCAAAATGAGGACTATATAAAAATATTCTAAGTAAAGTCAAAGGTCTGAGCACATGACGGAAAAAGCTTTATCTGTAGTTCTAGACCTATTTGAGAAATGGAAAAAGATAGTCACTTCCCAATAAGAAAAAAATAAAGGTATTTAGTTTTTATCTGTTTTTTTTGTTGTTTTTTTTAATGGATTCTGTCTAATACCTATGGATTTTATATTAAATTGACAGTGTCTTGAGCAGGACTCAAAATCTTTACAAAAATAATTGATTCCTTCTATTTGCTCAGCAGATTCATGGTTTTTGGCATTTGGATATGAAATTAAAGTAGTTCAAGGAAAACACAATCATGCCTTTAAATACAAGATCAAACAACCACATAAGAGCAAGTAAATAGTAACGACTATTAATAAAATTTCAATATGAGAGATGCTTACATAGGCTATTTTAAATTACTTTGTGGTTGAAAGTTTAATAATTTAATTAATAATTAATCATATGATGAATAGACGTAGAAAATAGGTCAGGCCCAACCTCGCCCCTCTGCTCCCCCTCCCTGCCTTTCTCTCTGTCTCTCTCTGCCTCTCTTCACTTCTTTATCTGTCTCCCAAAATAACAGAGTTAGATTATGCATTACTTTGAGGTCAATAAGTACTTTCTACAGAAAGGCCTAACTGTAATATTATAACTAATCCTATGGTAATAGCAGATATCTGCAGTTCTAAATCCCTACCCCACCACACACGCACAAAAAAAGTTAGAACTAATTGTCTACCCTGAGATGAACAAAATCAATTCAGCTCATAGGAAGCCTTAAGAATTCCAGACATTTCGTGAATTCATGAGCTGCCTAAGATCTGCGGCCAATGCAGAATTCTGAGATGAAATGAAATTTAACTTCTTTTCTATAACTTTTTGCAAGGTTATTGAAATTAAGTTTTATTTATAAAGTTTAAATACACTGTCTTACATAGTCTCATGAAATACCAGGTAGTAATATACCCATCATGTCAAATGAAGACGGGGGACAACAATTAATTTTCTTAACTAAAACTCATCATTACCAAAATAGTCAATAAATATTGAAATTCTATTATGTACCATCCACTGGGCTAAGCACTTCATGCTAATTATTTTGCTTAACTCAAAATAGATGATCAACTTTTGATTAGAACCTAATCAAGTACCCTGACACCGAAACCACAATCAGCCTAGTTTAATCACGCTTTCGCTCTTCATTAGTTACCTTAGAGTCCTTCGCTGACACGGTGCTTTAGAATGAGAATGTTTACGGCTAAGTCTTTTACTGACCCTTATAACACAGGAGTTGTTAGTTAAAAAAAATCCTTTCTATCAGTTTTCTCACCTATCTCTTTCTCATAAAAGCATATAGGTAGTGTATGTAAAATAAAACCCAATCATTAGAATTTTTTCAATAATATACATTCTGAGTAAATAAAATATTTTCATATTACAACAGATGTTATGAATCACAGAACTTGTAAGGAGATAATAAAAAATTAGCAGTTAATGTTTTAGCAGTTTCTTATTTAGTTTTGTTTTTTTGTTTTGTTTATTTAACTTAGACTATCTCCTAAAAAAATCTCCATCATTGTGATATGCCTTTAATTTTATATTCAAATCAACTGATTCCATATTAAACTACAAAACTACTATAACACTATAATTTTCATATTATGTGTTTTTATAAGGACACACTGGATATTTTGCAGCCTCAGTCTCTGGATTAATTCTTTCCTTAGGTGGGAAGTTAATGACACAGGACAGACGCTCAACCTTCAGAGGATGAGCTCTGAGCCTGGACCCCGCTCTCGCAATAACTTGTTCCTCTCTCATTGCTGTTTCTCCCTGAAGATTATGAATTTATCTCAGTGTACTCTTTGGTTCTTCTAGTTTCTCTGGAACCAGAGTCCACTTTGCTCTCACTAGTCCTATAAGGACCAGATTCCAGTCCCAACCTCTGGTATATGCAGTAAGTACTAGTGCTATTCCCCACTAATGCTGCTAGATTTCCCTGAAGCTGACTTCCAGTCTACCTATATCTCACTCCACCTACTGCTGGGGGTCACAGCTCTGTCGTTCCAGCTGCTGGTCCCACTTCCTCCCTTGCCTTTGGAGAGACCTTTCCGAAAGTTCTGTCTAGTGCTGTTGTTACTTCAGTTAATACTGTTCTTGTTGGCAGCCATTTACTGACAAAGACTTTAATCTTTTCACTAGCCTTCAAGAACTTTGAGAACAGGAATAGAGGATATTTTTTCTTTCCTTGCTTGCTTGTGCTAGGGTTGAATGACACGTCTGGCCTTGAATAAATAAGTGAATTTACAGAGAACTGCCCATGTACTAGTCACTACAGCACATACTCTCCACAATAACAAGTAATTCTATCAACAATCTTCTAATTGAGGATGCTGAGACTCAGATAAATTAACGGCTAACAAGGTTAATTAGCAGATCACAACAGTTAAGTAGATGAGGTAGGATTTACAACCACATCTATCTGAGCCCCAACATAGCTCACTATCCATGATGCCACGATGTCTTGTCTCCAGGACTGGCTTCTGCTTTGGCCTATCTTGCTGATCATCACTGAGCCCTAGTGATGGCATTCTCACTGATTTGTTCACTGTCTCTAAGAGAAGACAGTTTAAAGATAATATTTTATAGAAGAAAAAAATGTGTGTATAAAATTAGCTGGCCAAACATAGACCTGCAAAGAATTATACTTCTGAAATAAAATTGAACTGTTAAGTGTTTTGAGTTAACAGTAATACCAATGTCTATTGGTGACCTGCCTTCAGATTATTTTTATATGATTCCATGATTTCCCATGATCCTACCCACAAGAAAATATAAAGTCATCAAAGTAATCTATCTCTCACTTTTTAAAGATTATAGACCTTCTTCTCTAGGGAAATCAATTATAAGTCTTTATCATCTGAACATCAAATGTGATTTTTAGAGGATCTTTTCATCTGAAAGTGTTTTACTATCTAACTGTTCTCATCCAAATGACCTACTGATACAATTAATGGCTATGTTTTAGTCCCCTGGAACCCTGAAAAATCATTATAAGCTCATGAAAAATAGTCTGCAAGACAAAGCAGCTGCTATTCTGAGGATGAATAAATAGCCTATTGTGCTTGAACAAAAACACCAGATAATCTGGAACCACTTAAAGTTCATCTTTTTCCAGTCCTTTCTATTCAAAACATATAAGCCTAGATGCCAAGCTTACTTTTTGTACTATATTTTCACTTTTACTAAAATTTAATTTTAGTAACCTTATTTTTTAAGGCATGACCTAATTCTTTTAAATTCACAGACTGGGGGAAAATGGGTCTGATGGAAAACTAATTTCAACAGTGTTGAGAAGGCCATGCATTTCACAGTGATTAAAGGAAGATGTTTTAAATAAGATATTTGGTTTTAATTTAGAAATCTGACTCGTCCCCTTTCCCAACGAGCATGACAACTCACGTCCACAGGCTTGCCGTCTGCAGCCCGTGTGGTGATGACGGTCCTTCCCTGACTGTCCACGGCTTCCCTGTCGTCAGTGTGCCTGCTTGCGACTAAACGACAGTCCACATACAGCGCCACGCCCCGGGGCTGCACGCCCACGCCAAGTTTATGCCACTGACGGTCAAACAAAGAACGGAGTTCCCGGTTTTTAAAAATGTAGTTCAGCACTTCTCCCTCGGCAGCACGGAACATGAGTTCCACCACCTTCTTTCCACCGTCAACTACTATGGAGACCTGCAAAAGTGAAAATTATCTTTAAATATTTTAAAACCAGTGTTTGACATTAAAGAGCACACATAAAAAACTCAACACCCATTTAGTAAAAATGAGACACTTCATAAAATGTTTTAGGTGACACCTGCGTCCTGCAGATTGGTTAACATAAAAGAACAGCAAACATAGTCAGCTACAAAATGGTTTAAATATGTGATATTCTGGTGAATGTAATATGCTCCTTTCTAGACAGAACATCTAAGAGTGTGTGTGTGTGTGTGTGTTTCTGTATGAGTAATTCAAGAATTAAATGCCACCAATTTTATAAGAATAATATGATCATTTCTCTTAACTTGGAAACTGAGATCAACTTCTTTAAACTTAGATGATTTGCTTGGTGCAGAGAAAATACATTTCCATAGAGGACAGACTCTTTCTGTTTGGTTCATCTTTTCAACATAAAATTGTGACTATGTTTACATATTAAAAGCTTGTTCTAATGAATGTATACAGAAGCAATCACAAATGCATGGTGCCAATAAGTAATAGTAAGGTTCATCTCCCCTCACCGGAGCACCCGCACCCCCTCCTTTCTGCCCAGTGCCATCCCTTTGACAAGTATCCTAGGTTCTTGCTCTCCCCATCCCCCCTTTTGGGCAGCTGTCCTCTCTCTGTTCCCACAGTTCCCACCCAACGCCGAGCTTATCCCTATCACTACACTCACTGCACTTGTCACATTGTGATTGTGCTCTAGTGTGTTGTTTTCCTAGGTGACATTCCATTAGACCTAATGCTCCTGAGAATAGGAATTATGCTTTTTAAATATCTTATCTTTGTCACTAACTAGCATATAGCATGTGTTCAATAAATTTTTATTGAGAGGATCATATTAATATCCACCCTCTGAGTTCACTAAGGATTTTCAGATGAAACAATGAACAGCTTTTTAAAACAATACATAATATCAGAAATAATCACAGATAAGTTATCAGTGAAGTGGACTTAGTGTCAATGAAGCAGTTGTGAAGGAAAGAAAGTCTGAGTGTCTTTACACAAAATATGAATCTAGAAGTAAAAGGGGAAACGAATATTGTCTAACCCACCAGACTCCTATATTACAGATTTCAGCAAGATCCTCCTAACTGTAAGAATACTTGAATTTCCCTGCTGATGATTCCTTGAAAAGGCAGACTATTCGGATGCCCCCGAATCTGGACACGCAGTTCCAAGATTCGCCTGTGATACACTCACTTACCTGTGGCATATTCTGCTGGCTTAAAACCTGCCATAGAAACCACCGTTCCTTCTTGGTGCTTCTTCGGACACGAAACATGGCAGCTACGGCAAACTCCTCGGGAAGGCCTTTGGGAAACAGCTTACTGTCGGAGGGAAACAGAAGGACCGTGGGAAGACTGAAGAAGGCAGGACAGAAACTCTAGGTACGAAGTCCTATGTAACACAGTATCTCAGGCATATCTTCCTCCATAAATTTATGATTCATTACTTATTTTTATAGCAATCTACTAAGAAGATGTACGAGAACAGCATGTCTGTGTAATTGTAATTTTTGTTATTTCCCTTTTTTATAGCTTCTGGTGTGATGTAGTGAAAGCTCGGGGTGTAAACAAGCAAGCGAGTAGGCTGCTTAGGGTATGGCCTTACTCAGCACGCTGTTTCAGCAGAGGAGAACCTCTGAACTCTCTGCAGTTTGGCAAACAGTCGAGATTTATGAAGGAATAAATAGCACCTCTCGGTTTTGTCAATATACAGAAGTACAAAGCATTTCAAAGAACACTGCTAACAATTAAATGTATATTTTTCAAAGAATAAGCTTAATCAGATTAAACTCTTGAAAATGAGTTCCTACTACTGAATTTCTAGTATCAATTTAAGACCAATTAAAAAAAAAAAACACAAAAAAAACCAAAGAGGCTTTAGCATATTTTCATTCCTAAAGAAAAGAAAATAAGCAAATTCTTTCTAGGTATCAGAAAAAAAGCTAAAAGACAGTTCAGCTATCCTTTTGCCTTAATCTTGTTTCACTAGTCTGGACCCATGAAGAAACTCAGGGGAAAAAAATTAGCAATGATCATGTCTTATATCTAGACTTTCATTGGAAAACAAGGAGAAATTACATTCTTCCAAGCTGAGTTTTAAAATTTGTTTGCATTGTATGTAAGAACTCTGCAAGGCAGGATTTTTGCTTTACTTTTAAAAAATCATGAGGAATAGTAGGTAAGAATTCTCTTAAGGACTAACATAGCCAGAAGCTGTTTATATAAATAAAACATCATGCATTGAGATGTGACTTCAAATACTACTCTAAGGTCTACTAAAACTAACAAGTAACTACTGAAACTGACAATCACACTGTCATGGAGAAGTCCTGACTTATGGTTTTATTTTTTATGTTAAAGACAAAGTCACATGTAGTAGGGAAATTCAGGAAAAAATATGAAAAAGCTGTGCTGGCCTAAAGTTCGCATTTACTTACTGGGTTTAAAATGCACACACATTTATGAATATATATATCAAGGTATATATTATATGTCTATGTATGCTCTAGTTTTATCCTCTTCTTTGAGGATATATTAGGAAGAGCGGCAAACAACTTTATTGCATTTACATTATTATATCCCCTCTCAAGTGAGAAATTGATTAGCAAATCATTTGTTTTCCATGGGATCAAAATAAAAGCAAGCTTCTAAAACTGTATTTCCTCTGAAAAGTCACCAGTATAATGACCACTACTGTACTGGTTTAAGTGATGTTGTCCATTAAAAAACAAACAAAACCACCAGGCTTCGGTGTCTGCCGTTTATCTTTGGGAGCACCTATAAACGCGAAAGGTGGGCAAACTAGAGGAGAGGTGACACCAAAACATAAACTTCCAAGTGGAAATTTTGAACAAGTAAGTTGCATCAAAACTCTTTTAAAAAGGAAATCTCAACCCACACAGCAGGTCCCCAACCACAACTACCTGCAATAATAACTTGTGTCTCCACCTTGCTTCTAATTTCTTGCCTCCTTTACCCCACTGTCCACCTTGATGCTTTTAGAACCGTATCTTTATCTCAAGTGTTCTAAACTTTGACATACTATTTCCGGGACTTTTTCTTCCATTCACTGAGCACATCTTTCAACATGGACTGTGCATTACTAAGAAGACCATTTTTGTAAGTTTTCTTAATTACTATTTTCTCCATATCACTTTCTTTTATCCCCTCTTTCAGGACCTCCTCTTTTAGACAATTATTTAACTTCTATATTAACGACTTAGTTTTCTTACCCTTTCTCTTATATTTCTCCTACTTTCTTTATTAATATTTATTCTACTTTCTTAGATATTTCCTAATTCAGCATCAATTTTTTGTTATATTTCTACCCCAAATTCTCTTTTGTTGTCCTTTTCAAACTATCCCAAATGCAGTATTCAAAATCTCTGATGTTATCAATTTGGTGGGCTTTTAAATGTTTTTCTCTGCATCCATGAATGTGTCCATTCCACCCTGTTTAATTTTTCCTCTTCCATGTTGGAAGCTACACTCAAGTCTCTGCTCATTCACTGTAGTCCATATATATTTAGGAATGAAACACTGAAACTGCAAAGTTTATGCATGCTGGCACAGTGTATCAATGAACCAGCTTCACTCCAAAGCATGATCAACTGGTGGATTGCACTGAGTACCCTCAAATGTTAATGTAGGATGATTATGTCTCTAGGGACACTCAGTTTCTCCACAGAGTCCTGGCATTTCCTGCTTTAAAATAGAATAGAATCCTTCTATTTACCTCTTCCCCACAGGTAAAGAGTATTCACCTGGCTGAAGACATCCTGGAAGCAGGGTGGGTGTGTGGGGTCCCACAACTCAGTATATAATTTTACTTTATTCCTCTGTCTTTGGTGCCTTGCCTCTTTCCTGCACTAGCTATCCTGCTTACCACCAGCCCAGAGCCTCTCAGGCTCAATTTCTCTCAAGAATAAACCTCCCACCTCTTGTCTAATTGGATGGAGAAAGAGAAGATAACCTGGGGCCTCATTTTTCACACACACACACACACACACACACACACACACACACACACACACACACACACACACCAGCTTCTGCAGAGGCTGTTCCCCCCAGTGATGTCTCCCAGGTGTCTGGTAAGGTAAACTGGCCCACATCTCACCAGTATTCCCTGACCTGCACCACATCGTTCTCACTTCCCATCTTTTGAGTCAGTTATCAGTCTTCCAACTGCTTTCTTTCTTCTAAGGCTGTATTACAAACTTTCTCTGTTGCTTCATCTATTATACTGTCATTTTTGCATTTAAAGGGGTTAAAATTCCTTTTAAATCTTCAACTTTTCCCTCTCTGGTGCTGCTTTTCCTTGGTTTACAAAAATACACATATCTTCCCCCCCTGCAATAAAACAGAAAAAACTTCCTCCAACCTTTCTAAACCATTACACTGCCTTCCCTTCTAAGCACCAAACATCTTAAACGAATACTCTGAATATCTACAGTGTCACAATCCACACTGCCCTTAACCCTCCTGCTTTCTAAAAGCATTCCCAATCAGCGAACCCACTCCCTCTTCTCAAACCTCATTCCCCTCCACCTTTGTGAAGGTTTTATCACTGAAGACATCCTTTCTTCATGGATATAAACCAACTGCATAGCTAGAGGGCCCAGCCAGGATGCTGCAATGGAAGCTCGGTGGGTTTCTTTCTCTCTCCTACTCATCTTTTGTGCCAGACATATAGAACAGTGGCTACCCAAGGTAGGTACTTAATAAATACTAAAGGAGCCAATTAATGAACTGAATTCAGGTATAAGCAATATAAAAACAAAACACATAGCCCTCTCCATCCAACTTTAGTTTTCCATCTTGGATATGTACATGTAAGAAATCTTCACTTTCCTCTTAAGCCTTCTATAGGAAAAACAAATACAGCAAGCAAAGTAATAACAGCCACTGACACTTGTCCTTACATAGAGGACACCTGTGTGGACTGAAAAGAACTGAAAGCCCAGTCCATCTACCGGGACCAACTGCTATTTAGCTCCAGCCAACTGTGACCATGTGGGAAATTGGGCTGAGGTTTGCCAGTTCATGCCATTTTTCAAGACATGCCGAATATCCGCATTTTTATCTAAAAAGTTTAGAGTTTTAACTTGGCAATTATTTCATATTTTTCACAAACACTGTCCAGACCAACATTGTGCAAACCAAACAGTGACTGCTAGTGGGCAACCTTGGACCTACAGAAACGTTTGCTCAAGGCCCACCATATGTACAGCACTGTGGGGTTTACAAGGATGGAAAAGGAAGGTTCTTATCCTAATTGCTTCTTAAAATTGGTTGGGAGAGGGAAAGCATCCACAGAAAATCTAAGGAAGTGATATAAATTGGAAGAGAGTAGTACACAGCCAAAATCAGAACTCAAGGTGGGAATGGAAAACCCAGTGTTAGGAATGGGACTCCCTTTAAAGTCCTGTAACAGCAGGATGGTTTCAGACCTTTTAAGTTTATTGAGACTTGCTTTATGACTTAACAAGTAACTATCAGTCATGTAAAATAATAAAAATTTTTCTCTGGAAATGGGGTTCTTACTGACCTCCAAACCCATCCTTCCTCCTCTAATGGTGGTTAGGCTGCTAGTTTGCATTTGCAATTATAAAGCTGTTAGTTTTCAAACCTGCCATTACGTTGAGGAGAGAGGGGTGTAAACAGGATAAGTTAAATGCCAGAAAGCTTGCTATTGTTGCAAGCCCTTAGTTAATTTCCAGAGTCCTGAAAATACTGGTTTTGACCATTTTTGCCTGTGTTCTCACTGCTTTTATGAACGAGTACATTTTCTGAGCTCCTTATTTTGCCATCGGGCTGACATCAGCACTGATATCTGTTTGGACCTTTCAGTTCAGCCCAACTACACATTTCATGCAGCTAAGAGAAAAAGCTGAGTGAACACCTCATGAAGCAGAACCATGTAAATGAATCCTGTTCATATTTCTGACTCACATCATCATGAGAAATAATACACAGTTGTTTTAAGCCACTAAGTTTTGCAGTGGTTCATTACAAAGCAAAAAATAATGAAAACACCTTTCTCTTCATTTTTTTACTTAGGATTATGACTATATAAGCACCTGTCACATCATGAGATTGCAAACTCTCTGAAGGCAAGAACAGCATTAAATCTCTCTTTGTATCAACCACAATACCTAAGTGCAGTGCCAGCAGGGCACTCTATAACTATTTGTTAAATGAATCACTGACCCAGCAAATAAAACCAATGACAATATAATTTTGATATGATTCTTCAATACTATATAAATAAAACTAAATATAGTGATTTTCCAATTATTTAAAATCTCATTGAAAATATT